CAGGGAAGGCTGTGTTGTAGTTGCAGGGTCTGTGCATTGGGTGTTAGTGGCCTGCTCAGAGTGTGTGGCTAACAGTGACTGATCTGCATTGTTGTGCGTGTGCTTTTCTCCTGCAGTGTGACACAGCTGCTTTGTGTGGTCTGAGAGGCACAGCATTTGTTCCTGCCTCTCCTCCTTCCTCCTGGGACATCATGAGCTCCTGACTTCTCTTCCTGTATCTGGGTTCTGACCGTGTCCAGGCTTCTGTGTGCTGTCAGCCTCCTGTGAGGAACTGAGGAGCCAGCCCAGCCCTGAGCACCAGGACCCTCCCCACACTGACTGGGTCTCTTTCCCCTCCACCTGCTGCTCCAGCAGAGGCGGGGCCAGGGCTTTCCCATCTCTGACTTCATTTTCCCTTGCCCTGAGCTGCATTGGGTGCTTCCCCATTGATAAGGAGAATGTGGATGTGGCTCTGGGTTTCAAATTGTTGCCATGGAAAAATGTTGAATAAATCAATGAATGATTCCCAAAATTAAGATAGAAAATCAAACATGATTAAATTCCAGAATCCTCATGTTTGCTGAGCTGTGTTGTGGGCGGGGCCAGGGTTAGCTTGAGAACAGCCAGGTGTGGATAGGGGCTCAGTCCATTCTGGACTGTCATGTATTCAGTGCTCACCTGGGTTGTCTTCCCTGCTCCTCAGTTGTGTTGTTTTCCTAGAACCTTCTCCATGAGCACCTATGATCAGAGGGGCTTTTCCTTTGTCTAGGACACAGCACAGACTGTGCAGGTGAGACTAGGCTCAGGCCTGAGTCCTCTACTAAGGCACCATCAGTTGTTCCTCCATACTTCTGTCCTTTCTTGTCATCCTGCATGAGCTGGTGTCTTGTTGGCCTTCTAGGTGTCCCTGTGACAGCAGCAGGGGGTGTGTTCCTGTCACTGCCCCCAAAGTACCAGGCAGCCTTGCACAGGGTGTGTGTGGTGAGGAGAAAGGCAATGTGAGGCAGCTTGCTTTCCTTCTAGCACTGCTGCCTCCAGTGTGGGTCTGTGCTGTCCCCAGTGCCCTCAAGGGAGCCACCAGTGGGAAGAGCAGAGAGGAGGGATGTCAGGTTTCTCCTGTCAGCTCCCTTCCTGATCCTCTGCATCTTCTCTGCCCACCTCCCTCCACCTGCCCTCAACTTTGGTTAGGTCCCAGCTCTACTCCCACCCAAATTCCTGGATTGAAGAGCAGAGTCAGGAAGGGATTATGATCCCCATCTTGATTGCCTGAGAGGATCTGGAAGTTAGTGGAGTTCATGTCCACATGTGAGTGTCAGGGCATTTCAAGGAGAATGGGTCCTGAGAGCTCTGACCTAGGGAGAATGTCATCAGGTGGTAAATTGACAACCTGAAGAGAGTTCTGGAAGCTGGAGGACTGTGGTAGTTGGGACTCCACTGTGTGTGGGTTCCTTGGGATTGTGTTTTCTCTGCACCCTGTTACTGCCCTGCTCTGCCTCCTGCTGCCACGAGAGGCGCTGTGCTTCCTGCTGTGCCCTGCCTTCCCTCTAAGGCTGACTTGGTCCTTTCAACCCTGACCAAAACACTCCCTTCTGCTCAGCTTCAATCTCAGAAACAAATTAAAACACGAATCTCCTGGCAGACAGCAGGGCCTGTGCTCTGACTACTTAACAATGTGGTTCTTAGGCCTTTGGCATTGGTCTTCAGATTGAATTTGGAATCGCTCAGAAAGGAGGTCAGAACTGTCATTCTTGTGGAGCATGTGTGCTAGCAGAAGAGACAGGTGGCAGGTGTGTAAGAGAGCAAGGAAGGACCATGACATGCAGGAGGAAGGCAGTGCTGCAGGACAGGTGACATGGTGTGGGCGTGGGGACAGAGCTGACTGTGGTACTCGGTGTTCATCATGACCTGGGAGGGAATTTTTTTTTTGTGTTTATTTTTTTTT